TTATCTAGTTTATGTGAAGTGGTAGGGGGAAAAATATGATTGCTCTCTTGAAGAGCAAAAATCTGAATATGGTATGTTAAAAAGTAATTAAAAAATTAAGTAACCATAGCCAAGACTGCTTTTCCAATATTATTTTTTTGAGGAGAAAAATTATTAGATTTGGAGTATTATTTTAACGATAGAAATGCTTATAGGTTGTGAGGAAGGAGTTAGAGGAAACAAAATGGCAGAAAGGAAACTAAAAATAGCCAGATCCAATAGATTGAGGATCAGGTCACCCTCCTGCCCACCACCACTGAAAGAATTAACTTTGAATATAGGCATCATTTTTTTAAAACTATAGCCATTTGAAACACTTAAAAATGTTTATGTGGACACCTCTCTAAAGAAGATAGATGACAAAAAGTGGGTAAAAAGGTGTTCCACATTACATGTCAACAGGGAAAAATACAAATTAAGACAACAGTGAGATTCTACTACACACCTACTAGAAATGGTCAAAGTTCAGGATACTAACATCATCAATTGATGGCAAGGATGTGGAACAACAGGAACTCTCATTCTTTATTAGTAGGAATGCAAAATGGTAGTTTGGTAGTTTCTTAACAGAATTAAACATTTTCCTACCATATGATAAAGAAATCACACCCGTTAGTATTTACCCTAAAGGAAGTGAAAATTTATGTCCATACAAAACCTGAATATTTGCAGCAGCTTACTCATAACTGTCAAAACAGGAGGCAACCAAGTTGTCCTTCAGGAAGTAAATAGATAAGTAAGCTGTGTTACATCCAGACAATGGAATATTATTCAGCACTAAAAAGAAATGAGCTATCTGGCTATGAAATATATGGAGGAATCTTACATGCATATTTCTAAGTGAAAGAAGCCATAGTGAATGATTCCAACTATATGACATTCTGGAAAAGGCAAAAAAGTATGGAGACAGTAAAAAGATAAGTAGTATCCAGAAGTTACGCTGTAGAAGGTATGACTAGGTGGGGCACAGAGGTGTTCTAGACCAGTGAAAATAGTGTGTAAGATACTTCAATGATGGATACATGCCCTTATACATTTTTCCAAACTCAAGGAATATACAATACCAAGAGTGAATCCTAATGTAAACTGTAGACTTTAGGTGATTAGGTTTATCAATTGTAGAAATGTACTATTTTGGTAGAAGATGCTGATATTAGGGGATGCTATGCATATCTGGAAGCAGGGAGGTTTATGGGAAATTTCTGTATTTTCTCATAATTTTATTGTGAATCTCAAACTGCTCTAAAAGAATAAAATCTTAATACAACTTTTATAAATCTTATATATGATGTGTCTCAAGATTATGATATAAAAAGATACCTATCTCTACATTGAAAATCCAAAGAAATCATAAAACTCTTAATGGTGGAATTACATTTTTAAGGGTGGTTGTTATTGTTTTCATGGTGGCACTATGGAGCAAGAGAAGAGTTCTTGGGATCCTTAAGATCATATCAATTATATGATCACATACTATACCTATATATAAAATCTTTCCCTGGTAGGCCATGTAATAGCCAAATGTCCTAGTTTATCGTTTCCAATATTTTAGTCCTTCACTTTCTTTAAACTCATACAACTAAAATCTCTGTGCGTCTGATACTAAGGAAAAATATGACTCCTTTTAAATCCCTGGAAGATTCTCTGAAAGCAGTTTCAAATGCTAAGACTGACAAAAATACTAGAAAGTGATAGCACTGACTGCTTAATTGACCTAAATTCTGCCGTTTAGATAACACACTATTGGAACAAAGGTGATAAAGAATGTCTAATTCATAGATACATGATCTAGCAGTTAAGAGAGGAAGTATCTATTAAAATGCAGCTATTATTTGTGATTAATGAAAGACAGGAAAGGCTGATTGCTTGATTCTTGGCCTTAAATGTTCTAGATCTCAGTGAACTTATCCTGGTCCTCTTAAATCTGATTGTTCAATGACCTCCTGCCTTGTCTTTTTTTATTTTTCTTCCCTAAAAATCTAATATTGTGATTTTTAAGAGCAATGATACTTTGGAGTTTATAGTCCTTACTTTTTCTGCATATACTGTAATAACTGCTAGGGTCTCTCACTCTAGTTAGACTAGAAATTCAGAAAATCTGGCTGATATTAGACAGGCAATAGAGGTGCAGGACTTAATGTATTTTGTGAAAAGTTCAAGAATTCAGTATATACACATTTTCAGTTTGTAGGAATGCAGATGATGGAATCCATGAGCCTAGTATAGTAGTATCAACCATAAACTGAGTGATAGTTTGAATACTAGCTGATCAAAAACTATTTCAAAATGAATTGTGAAAGAACAGCTTCTGTGCTAAACAAACATGTATGCAGCACCTACTATGTGCTAGGTATTGTTCTTAGCACTTTTTAGTTATTAACTTGTTTAATCATTGTAACTACAGAATGAGGTACATACTGTTATTATCACTATGCATGGGATAACTGAGGGTAAAGAGAGGTTAAAGAATTTGCCCAAGGTTACTAGCCACCAAGTACCAACACCAAGAATCATGCTCAGATAATTAGACTCTAAAAGATGGTGAGCTTAAATACACTATGCTATAAGTCTTTGTTCAAACATCATACAGAAGTCCTTATGGAAGTAACACAGAAAAGCCTTGAGAGGGGAGCCTCTTAGGTGTTGACTAGGGAGATCTGACTAAAGCATTCACCTTTTTTAGAAGAGTTTTTTCTTTCAATTTTTGATGACAACATAGCATGCTGTTCTCTAAAACTCTGCCTAACAATGACCAATATCAAACCTTTCTCTGCTTCCGCTTGAATAGCTGCAGGCAAGCATTGTCATGACAAGCGCCGCGCCAGGTGATGTATGGAATTGCTGAATCACTATACTGCACCCCTAAAACTAATATAACACTGTATGTTAACTACACTGGAAATAAAATAATAAAATAAAATAAAATAAAATAAAAGTTAAAAAATGAAATGAAATGAAATAAAGAAATCCATCATGAACAAGAGATTAATAAAAATGACAAAATGGGATGCCTGGGTGGCTCTGTCTGTTAAGTGTCTGACTTCGTCTCATGGTCCCTGTGTTTGAGCCCCATGTCAGGCTCTGTGCTGACAGCCCAGAGCCTGGAGACTGTTTTGGATTCTGTGTCTTCGACTCCCTCCTTCCCTCTCTGTCTCAAAAATATATAAACATTAAAAAAATAAATAAAGATGGCAAAAGATCAGACAGACGATTACAGTTCCCTGGCAAATGATACCAAATGATATTTACTTGATTAAAATAAAATTAAAACATATAAAAGATAAAAAATAAAGATATATATAAACATAATTTATATACCAAGAATAAAAAAGGAAATATCTTTAAAGGAAATAACAGCTAAAAAAACATAAACACAATGCTGATAAATACACATCGCTGATTCAATGACAGACTCGTTTACCAGCTTCATAGACCTTATTGCATCCAATATTTATTTCCTTAACCAGAACTACAAGCCTCCCCTGCTACCTTACTGAAGGGTTAGATTGATGTAAATCAATTTATTCCTTCAATTTGTCAATTGTCTATTTATGGTCTGCTAAGAAAATAAAAAGAAAACTTCTCTATCACTCCCCTAGGAAGTTCCACCCAGTTTCTGATACAGGTTTTAAGATATACTTGCCTGACAGTACTGTACCCATATGAAATAACCACCATTAATCTATGGAGTATGCTCTCCACAATATAATAATATACAGTAACCATACAAGGAGGGTTCATGTGCATAGTAATGGCAAGATTTTCCTATTAAAAACTATTTCCATGATTAGATAAGAAAAATATATTTTGAATTATCCTCTTCCTATTTATTAACTTAAAATATGTTCCAATGAAAAAATGCCAAGTAGTAATTTCCCGAACTACAATTTTCTGAAGAAAATGGTCACTCAGCATTTACAATCAGAAAGAAAAATTTACAACTGCTAATGAATTGTTAAATTTTTATTAAATGGGTTCTATAAAAATATTTTATATTAAAGTCTGTAGTAATGCAGATAAATCTACAAACTGCATCAGTGAAAAGAAATGGGACATCACCATTGTCTCTAAGGAAATAGTAACATTACATATTTCTTAATCTATTTTTGCTTTTATGGAATTGCATAAGATAAGCAATAGTTTGGCACCAAATTCATCAAACAGAAGGGCAAATTTTTACTATAATATCTTATTTATGTATTTAACAAGACTTTTATAGCTATCTAAGAGGTGACATTTTACTTTTGCATAGCTTAGCAATGCATTAATAGACTTCACTTTTACTTTTTAAATGTAAACTATATTTTATAATACTTTATAATAAAAGAGTACAAATAATTTAAAACTCTCAGTTGCATGCATTAAAATAACATTCACATTTAAATTTAATATTCTATTGGTTTCAACCCCAATACTGGAGAGAATGTGAGAGGTGAAATGTGGACAAAATAAAAAATACTTTCCCTAAAAGACAAATGTCAAGGAAAACTAGAACTTTTCTGCAAAACAACAGCACAATGACTTTTAAAGTTCTGTCTGAAAGTCCTACCCCTCCCCAACACACACTATAAACTTGATGGACCTAAATTGTTGTGCCTTAACATGGAAAAGGGGGAAGCAAAGAACAAGTTTTGCTTATAATTTCTTAGGTAGCCTTAAACTGCTTTAACTTCCTAAGGACAGACTACAGTTCAGTTCGAGAAAATCTGCAGGGTCTCAGATCAGCGCCAGGATTTGCATGTTATGGATCAATGTGAATTCCGGGAATAAACACTTTCTTTGCAGGCAGATGAAAAGCATTTTTGCTGAGAAGAAAAAGAAACTTTCTTCTTCATTGCTATCAAAGAAGAAAATCATGGTTGCTACAGGATTTTGTGTATCTGTTTTTTAAAAACAATTTAGAATAAAGAGACCAAAAGGGTTGAAAACAGGATTTCCAAATGCAAAGTGTATAGACTTACTGGTACATGCCATGGAAGGCGGGTCTTTTTCAGCTCGGAAGTAACCCTTTTCACACTGACAGACAGAAGTTGCTTCCATGTAGGTTAAACTGTGTGGAGGGCATTTAGAACATTTTGTGTTCCCAGCAAATGCTTTATAGAATCCTGGTCTGCAAGCTGTAAAAACAGGAAAATTAAATTTTGTTATTATTTCTAGAGTTCTTTTATTTGCACATGTACAACATACTTTAATTTATACACACTTTGATCTCAGAGTTCAGGGTCACACATATACAGAAGAGTCAATATATAGTAACATTTAATGAAATGAGTTCTTCAAAATTGGTAATATAATAGTAACTTCACATTTTAGTTCAGGATGCTAATTTTAAAAAGCATACCTGAAACACAATATATACAAAATAAATTGTCTACCAGAGTGTAGGGATGCCCTTAAACTGGCATTAAGGGAAATTATTTTGTGTAGTTATGGGAGATAGCATTAAATAACATTGAATCACACTGTTTAAAATGTATTTGCATTCCATTTCTTCTTCAGTCTTTCTGAGTACTAGAGGAAAAAGTCCCAGTGTGATGCTGGTATATATGCTGGTTATCTTAACACCTGTCCTATTTGTGATTTTTATTTTTTTAACAAAATGAAAACTGGCCTTATGCTCAGAGTTTAGCAAGATCTACATATAGTTTGATAACATTGTTTTATTTTTATTAACTTTGTTTTTATTTTTTATGTCAAGTGATTTTTCTGTTTGTTATACTGAAATACATTCATTTAAAATTTTGAATTAATTTCAAAAGTAGATAGATATGTTTAATACATATACTTGATTTACTTAATATTTTATCTACCTACTTTTGAGAGAGTAAAATATGCAAGCAGGGGAGGGGCAGAGAAAGATGGAGACAGAATCCGAAGCAGGATCCATGGCAAGAACCATGAAAATATAAGCAAATAACTAAGTTTTTTTAAAAATCACTAAAAATGAAATGTAAATTATAGAAGATATAGGATGAAATGTTTTATTGGACCTTATTTTCTCTTTACTTATTAAACCCATGTTGTCATTTACAGGATACATTTTCACAGGAATAGAAGATATAGAAAAAAGGATCCTAGACTAGGTATGTATCCAAGGTCCTGAAGGAGGAAGAAGTGGTCTTAGTTGTTTTTCATCTCAAACAAACCACTGCTGATCACTTTCTAAATTAACACTGTTAGAGGCACGTGGGTGTTCAGTTGGTTGAGCCTCTAGCTTAGGCTCAGGACACAGTCTTGTGGTTTGTGGGTTTGAGCCTCACACTGGGCTCTCTGCTGTCAGCACAGAATCCCTTTGGATCTTCTGTCCCCCTCTCTCTGTGCCTCCTCTGCTTGTGATCTCTCAAAATTAAACATTAAAATGTTTACACATACAAATTAGTATGCTAAGTGAAATAAAGGAAGAATAATATGTTTTTCTAAAAATTTTTAAGAAACTACTTATTTTAATCCAATTAATTTTCACAAAATGCTCATTTTAGAAATACATAAAAATCTTTACAATAATCTCTTGATAAAGCTTCTGCTTATATATTCAGGAGAGAAAGAAAACATGTCATCTAAGTTTTTGAGACAAATTTAATGAGTCCCAATTAAAAAACTCTTTGTCTTTTTCTAGGTACATTTTGATGAATGTTCCTACAGATCTAAATGACTGCAATTCAATCAATACCAGTAGTATAGTATGCCATCCTTTAGGAGGGCATAAACCACAAGATGTGCACGTACATGCACATACACACATACATGCATATGCTGTAAATGGATTATTTTTGATAGTTAATGTTTGCTTTAATAATAACATTTTTTATAAATCACCTAGTAATTCAAGAGAAGTAAAATGATCAATTCTGTAGAGTAAAATTACTATTAAAATTTGGTTATTCACGGGATGCCTGGGTGGCTCAATCGGTTAAGCATCCGACTTCGGCTCAGGTCATGATCTAAAGGCTCCTGGGTTCGAGCCTCGTATTGGGCTCTGTGCTGACAGCTCAGAGCCTGGAGCCTGCTTCAGATTCTGTGTCTCCCTCTCTCTCTGCACCTCGCCAACTCATGCTCTGTTTCTCTCTGTCTCAAAAATAAATAAACATTAAAAAATGTGGTTATTCACTATCAGTGAAATTCTAAGTGGTGATATATAATAAATATCAACCATAGTCTCTTCTCTAGTTAGTTGATAAATTAATACTGTCACTAATCAATAAAAACACTATATCATCAAAATATTTCTCTGTCTGTCAAAATTTAGAGTACATAAATAAGACATAATTAGCCCCTAACATTTTCACAAACAAAATATTCTTTAAAACATATTTAATTTCTAGTGCGCTTAGGTGGCTCAGTTGTTTAAACATCTGACTTCAGCTCAGGTCATGATCTCGCGGTTCGTGGGTTTCAGCCCTGTGTCAGGCTCTGTGCTGATGACTTGGACCCTGGATCTTGCTTCGAATTCTGTGTCTCCATCTTTCTCTGCCCCTCTCCTGCTTGCACTATTTTACTCTCTCAAAAATAAATAAAAATTTTTTAAAAATTAAAAAAATTTAATTTCTAAATTTGATCTTATAATATAGTAGTAACAAGACAATGTATTATAAGATATTTAGTAAATTCAGCTTATATATATTTTGTCAATAAAGTATTTTCTACTTAATTATGAAGTTTAAAATAGCTGAATATATTCCACCACATGCATTTGTAATACTTTGGCAAATAATTTTAAACTTTGAACCCAATTAGAAATTTAATCATATCTTCATCTAATCTATTACAATATCTGTTAAGTCTGATAAACCATGCAACTTATAAGGAACGTGCAAATTTAAATGGGGAACTTGTGGGCAGTTCTGTGTCTCCCTCTGTCTGCCCCTCCCCTGCTCACATTCTGTCTTTGTCTCTTTCTCAAAAATAAATAAATTAAAAAAAATTTTTAAATAAATGGGAACTTGCATTCTGCATATTCCAATTATTATTTTGAATATAATTTAAATATTATTATGAAGGCCTTTTGAAATAAGACCATTTTAAAATGAATTAATTAGGAATGTGAACACTATAGGACTATACTAAAGCTTATTATATGTGCAAATACAAAACCTGTAAGACACACAGACAAGAGCTGTAAACATTGTGTTTTCTTTCCCCTACCATTTATTCAAATCTCAGCCATAATCACTGTTCAGCATATAAAGCAGCCTGCCAAAACCTTCATCTTGTGCCACAAAACATTGTTAGCTTTATTTCCTTTGGTAACAAAAAAACAAAAATTTAAATAATTTCTTATGCTTAGTGTTTTCTTATGGTTAACTAAAAAAGAAAAATTTAAATAATTTTCTGCTTAGTGTTTTCAGCTAATTTGTCACCTTCTTTTAGAATTTAAGAATGCTTAAAACAACTATTAAAATACTTAGAATAACAGTGATATTCAAACTGTTTTGGAGACCAGAATGCAAACTGGTCTTAGTGCCCAATCTTGCCTACTTCAACTTGTAAGTAGAGGAATCTCTTTCCCCTTCCCCTTCTTCTTTTTTTTTTTAAAAAAAATGTTTATTTAGTTTTGAGAGAGAGGGAGAGACAGACAGATGGACAGAGTGGGGGAGGGGCAGAGAGAGGGAGACACAGAATCTGAAGTAGGCTCCAGGCTCCAAGGTGTCAGCATGGAGCCGGACATAGGGCTCCAACTCAGAAACTGTGAAATCATGACCTGAGCTGAAGTATGACGCTTAACCAACTGACCCACCCAGGTGCCCCAACAGAGGGATCTTCTAAACCTGCTCTATCCAATAGTTTTAAAAGATAGGACATATATAAATAATTTTAAATTCTATAGCAGCCACATTAAAAAACTAGAGACACAGATGAAATTAATTTTAATAATATATTTCATTTAACACAATATATCAAGGATATTATCATTTCAACATACAATCTAGCTCTTGAAATATTTTACATTAGTTGGGGTTTTTTGTACTAATTAATTACATATATTTTATATTCACTGCACATCTCAATTCAAACTAGCCACAATCTTGAGAAACTTAACAGAAGACCATTGGGGAAGGGAAAAGGAGAAAAAAAAAAAGTTACAGAGAAGGAGGGAGGCAAACCATAAGAGACTCTTAAAAACAGAGAACAAACTGAGGGTTGATGGGGGGTGGAGGAGAGGGGATAGTAGGTGACGGGCACTGAGAAGGGCACTTGTTGAGATGAACACTGGGTGTTGTATGAAAACCAATTTGACAAATTATATTTTAAAAAATTCAAACTAGCCACATTCCACATTCCAATTGCCTAGTCACTTCATGTGGCTTGTAGCTACCACACTGGATAGTACAGTTTTGAACACAGATCTTTTCATTATTTATCTCTGTTGAAAAACTTTGATGACTTGCACCATGTTTATGTGAAGGTTTAAAATGGATTGGATTAATAAATTCACCTGTGGCTTGGCCCTGCCTACAGCTCCAACCATATCAAATGAAGCTAACTTCCCTTGAACACCTCCCTTGATTAAGATTTTGCCCTTTTACAGTCTATTCTCACCCAGCAGGCAGTGATCTACTAGGCACTGCATGATTTTGCTCCCCACTCTTTCCCTGTACTCTGCTCCAAACTATACATGCTTCCTGCAGAATCTTGCATGAAAGCAGGCTTCTGCTCCTGGGCCTTTAACACTTGCTCTTACCCTGCTATCTGTAAGGTCTGCTCCTTCCCTTATATCAGGTCTTTGCAAAAATGTTACCATATTTGTGAAGCCTCATTACCTTTTTAAAACTGCATCTTTGGCTACATCCTACTGCACAGTATTTTGTATTACTTTCCACTCTTTTTCCTGTCTCTAAGAAATTTAACATTTGACACATGGTATGTTTAATTTTTTTATTAAGTTGTATATTCTGTTAGAGTAGAGACTTTTTTTTCACTGAAGTGCATCTCCAGGGCCTACAACAGTGCCAGGCATTATTTGGCCCTCTACCAGTATTCAATGAATGAATGAATTGCTGAGGTCTCCTTTAATTTCTATGAATCTACCATGATCTTTCTTCTATTCGAGCCTTTTCTTCTGTTGAAAATCTCTTTTCTCCATCCCATTTCATGATCCATCATCTTACTATCTCCTAGT